ATCCTTTCTGTATTACAGATATTTGTAAGAGATTCTTCAATAAAAACCACCAAAACCAAAATGCAAAGTAAAGGCTGACAAGGCAGAATAAAGAGCTGCAGAACTGGTAAGACTTAAGACATCATAGGTTAATTAACTTTCTTACACTGCTGGGGAAATACATTTTCTTTAACCAATTATTTAAAAAGACAGCTTTTGGTAACGTCTATTACCCCAGATACGTTCAAAAATTAAAAACTTATTACAGAAATGTCAGTGTTAAAGTTGCTTTGTGTTTGCTCAAGCATGTAACCTTTATATAACTATTCTCTTTTGTGAAAAATGGAAATTATTCTCAATTTCAATAGCTCCTTGTTAATTCAGAACAAGTCTCAAATCCCTCTAATCTGATATTTTGAGGAAGCTCTGCCACATGAAAATAAAATCTTTCAGTATATTTAATTACAAACTTCTAAAGAACTAACGTGCAAAAATTAAGACTTTTTAGAATCTCTAGCATTACAAATTCTTTCCAAAACTGTTTGGAAACCATAACCATCTCACTGCAATCATATGATGCCCTGACTTATTAGTCATTTACTTAAACATACACCTCCAAAGTATACTTGTATTATAAAATAATGGAGTATTTAAACTAGCAGTCAAATTCTTTGTATTATGGCTTTCAAACATTTGGATACTGGAAGTAAATGAAAGCTTGTTTGCGGACCGCTTAGAAAATCACTATCCCTGAACACTTTCTTGTTATTTAGTAATATGCATTCTAGATCTTCTGAGTTATGGTTCCCTCAGTTAGGGTTTCTTTGAGTTACAAGTTCTTTCATAATTCAGCCTAGGTGATGCAAGCATTTGTCACTCAATCCACTGTACCTTCATTTCTTCCACCAACTCGCAGGAAAAAAGTTTGCACTCCCTTAACCTGTGAGACTTGACTGAAGAAAAACAAAACACTACTATTGCAAAATCTTGTATTAACGATTTGACATCTCAATCTAAACCCAGAGTGATCCTAAAGCATATGAAAATTTCATTCATAGTGTGTATCATCACTGAATTAAAACCTTGTATGGAAAAAAAGATCAGCTGAACCTCTTCTCTTGCTGCATAACTGTAGGTAGAAAGCTTTCCAGAAAGGTCAGACAGAATATGTATGTCTGTGCATACGCACGTACAGCTATACTAACTTCTGTACATAACTTTACAATTATGCTACTGAAAAAAGTGTCTATCTGATCACTGAAATGCAAAGATCCTCTGATGTCATCCCACAAAGTTCAGCTTTTCATACTTAAAATTCCTAAGCATATCGTTTTGGTTTAAATAATCCTCACGTCCAGACTGGCTGTCTTTCCTCTGCCACATAGAAACATAATTACAGGAAATGCTCTGAAGCATTGAATCAACATGAAACAAGAACTCCCATACCCCTTACTTCTAAGTAAAGAAATGTATCAACAACAGAAGAAGAATGGGAGCAACTGACCTGCCAAGGATAGAAGAGAGGTGTTTGATCCAAAGGAACTCTCAAAGGTGCAACGATGACCAGTTCAAACAGAAGACCGAGCAAAAGTGGAACCACACCAGCTAGCAGTATAGCCACTATTAATGTCTTCATTATCTAGAAAAACCAAGGCATCTAATTAATATGTTTATCAGAGGATTCTTTTTGTTTAAACTTCAAAATGTAACTTAAACTACGCAGATAAAGCAGGAGAGAAAAAACTACACAGACCTTTAATTCATACATATACACCCCTAGAAACAATTCTAATTATGTACATAGTTTTGCAATGCAAGTTTTCAAGACTGGGTCCGATTCCATGCCCCCTCCAGAAAAATGCACGACTGTGCCTACTGGTGTCCATATAGTTTTAAACCATAAAATCACTTTTGACTGTTATCAGTAGGGAGTACTATCCAATGGCACTTCATTACATTGAATATGCTTGTATGTTGGATAATTAGAGAACCACCTTTCCAAAACTGCCAATTTTTCTCCAGTGAAAACCAAACCTTAAAAATTCACTCATTATGGAATATTTCTGACTTAAAAAAATGGAAGACTCAGTTAGAATACCATGCTTGAATCTTCCTTTATTCTAGAGTTCTCTTAATTTACATGCATCATCCAAAAATCAGATACAAAACTAGCCTGACTTAATTAACATGATCAGGAAGAGGGACAAAGGACAAGTAGAGCATTACATTTTAGCTCTGAATTTTCTTAAACAGGCTTAAGATTTCCTAAATGAAAATGATGGATGAGATATTTGGGAAACGCGGTAATACATGAAATACATACTTACACTGCTCTTCTGTCTGTAATAGTTCAATAAGCAAACAAGCATGTCCATCACAAGATACCATTTAAGCTATGAATGTTTAAAATTACTATACTTGGCCAAGAAATCTACTATGTAAGTCCTCAAAACCAAAACCAAGATAAAAAAAGTGGGATATAAATTTGTGGCCACAGTGAGAATCTGAACACCTAGTAATAAAAAAAAAGGATATTTTCTTTAAAAATATTAATTTGAACAACACAAATCATAAAGATCTTTCTGAAAAGATGTATCAAGCTACGTTATAGAGACACGTTCATCATCATCTATCAGCTTTACTAGTTTTTTTATTTGATAATGTCAAGTTTAAAATTGAGTAATAGTTAAGCTTCCAGGTGTATGTGAAAATGTAAATGTATTTGATGTATTTGAGGACACATCACATATGGGATAATATAATGCAACATATTCACTTTTAAAGGAAAACAGAAAAACATACACATATATACACAAACTTATTTACACTGATTGCTTAACATTGTGCTAAATGGCTTCCAAAAATAGTTACCCTATGCAATGGGAATGTAAGCTGCAAAAGCTTCAAAATGGTCTGAAAAGGAAAATAGAGTATAGATTACAGAGTAAAAACTTGTTTCATTTTTGCTTGCAGTTTGTTAGCTACTTTTTCAATAATTCAGTAAAAAATTTTCTCAAGACTCACCATGAGAGACCATTCTTTGACCTTCTGAAAAATCACTCTACGACCCTGTGGCATCCAGGCGACCAGCACTGTCACTGCTCGGATAGTTAGCCAACAGACATAAAGACCACAAGCAGCTGTGTACAGTTCATGGATTTTGGCAGTCCCCGTCCAAAATGACATTAACCATCGGCCAGCAAATACTGAAAACACAAACACTGTTAAATAGAGTAATGGTTTTTGATGTATTAAGGAAGGATGCCTATTAAAAAAATACTTATCAAATTTATTGTTAAATACCAAAGCACAAATAGTATTCAGCATAAAACAGTATTTTGGTACTATACCCATTAAGGCACAAATGTGTGAAGCACTATGTAAATAGTTACATAGATGACGCCAAATACATACATAGAATTCCCCCCCCTCCCCCCTAAAATTTCATTACATCAGCAACGTGATCTGAACCACAGCAAACCAAAGCACTGAATAGTGTACTATTCAGAGCCTAAACACTAATCTTCAAAGTACTGCAAAGGCAATAATGGATTAGTGCATAAGCTTGAACTTAAATCTTATGAGCTATGTTTGGGTTATTTCACTGCCTCATATAATTTTTTAAGACTTACTGATGGGGCTTCTGAAGCTGTCCAACAAAAATGGAAGACATTTGCTACGTTTCATTTTTTAATAGTGTTTCTATTCATTAGTAGTATAGTGGACTTATTTTATGTACTACTATTAAAACCATCGCAAAATTCATAAGTCTGACCTCAACACATTATTGACTTTAGAATCATTGATAAAAGGAGGTAAAAATGACATGATACTACGGTAGCCAGGTTATAAAATTCAAATGAGTTTACATGTCTTAATTTGATCCAAATTATTAAAAAAACCTAGAAAGCTTTCTCCTTTTAACTTTAAACAATGGTTTCAAAATATCTGCCATTGTTGAGCATGGCAACATGCTGAGTTGTTTTTAATTGCAGTTTTACAGTAATGGACTTACCTGGTAAGGTAAGGCAGATAAGACTAGCAATCAGTAATGTTATGCACATGAAAACGATCAAAAGAAATATCTGAAAGAGGGAAAAAAGAGAAACAGTTTATAAGAAAGTTACTTAACCAAAGCAAAAAAAACATATAAAAAGATGTATCATCCTAGAAAGGCAGCTAAACTAGAATGTTCAAATGCCAACTGATGTCTCGCTGTATAAGTAAATCAGCGATAAGAAACCTATCCACAGTACATGCAGCACACCTACAGTGTTATGTATTTCTTTTAAGAGTTCGCATTAGTTGTCACAACAGTAAAAAATTAACATTTGAATCCAGAATGACTGAAGTTCTTTGTTACATTACCTGAAAAAATAATCTCTCTATTTCTGCACTGACCAGCACAATGACTTTTAATTAACCCTGAAAGGTTTCTAGCTCTACATGTCAGATGAGCAAGACAGTGATTCTATAATAAGGAAAACCTTGCTGAGAGAGTCCTTCCAGGTGCCCTCAGCTTTATGTGACCAGAAGCTGACAGCAAAGCTGGTGGCTCCTTAGTCAGGTTTACATCTTATCAGAGAATTTTCATGTACTTGACTTCTTTAAGTACTTGAATGTCTCAAGCGCCATGTGCTATGAAGTTCTGCTTCACTAATCATCAAAGCCACACAACAAGCAAGCTTACTATGGGAAAACTAACATCATAACAGACTACTAAGAGAAAGTTAAATCTGTAACACACGTTTTCCTTGATGAGACTTTTGGGGACAATGTACATCAGTCATCTCTAGGTTAGGACCTTCAGCACTGCTTAAAGGAAGGAAAATATTGTGATTTTGTAGACATTAGCCTGCATGAAGAGGGATGATTCCATAATACCCAATTACTTGCGAGGTGACAGCCACATACCCTTTTTCACACAGAATACTCTCTTTAGGGCTAGGGATCCCAAATGACAGAAAGAAGAAAACCAGAGTAGCTGACAACGGGACTGCAGGCAAAAAAACTTCTCAATGGTGAGGAACACATGGTGCGACTGGCTTGGGACCAATACTGTCTAAATAGTTCCTTAGGGAATGCTGGGGAAAAGTCAGTCCACGTGGGAATAAACAACACGTGAAGGACTAAAGCTAAGATGAAGCTTTTAAACGCTATACACTGCTGCTTCTTGGATCAGTGAGCAAGAGAATGTACAAGAGGACAAGTAACTCTTAACTTGGACCTGAACAATGCACAGGCAGCTAGTCACTCGTATCACAGAAGCAGCACTGACAGTGACCGCAATATATTCAGACTCAAAGATGTTGCAAGGACAGCCTTCCTCTCTCCAAAATCCACCACAACAATATTATTTCAAAAAAGCGCACTAGATAAAATGAGGACATTTATTAAAAGAAGATTGAAAATAGTAGTCAAAAGGAAAAATGCTTACAGGAGATGCGTTTACATATACTGAAGTGAAAGTTTGGCACAAACTCACACTACTAATCATAAGACGTAAAAAAAAGTCTCCCCAAAGTTGTCACAATAAACAGTAAAATAAAAATGGCTTCCAGAAGATGTTTCCAGAAGTTGGAAATAAATCCACAGGGGAAAAAAACCCAGAAAATGGATGAACTCTAGTAAGTGAAATTCAAAACTACAGTAGGACAAGCCAAAAGGGATTTTAGAAATAACATACCAAGTCTATGAAAAGTAATGATAAATTTATTTTTATAGATGGGGTTTTTTTCTTTGAAAAGGATCAACAATAAAGTAATAAAATCTAAGAATCCTCAGAAGAAAGTTTGCCAGAGTTTGCAGGCTCTGCTGACAACTATGAATTATGAAAGGAAGGCTAAAGGAAATCAAGGCAGTAGTGGGAAAATTCAACAAATTCTACACATCAGCATTTGTTCTGGAGAGGCTTTGGGAAATCCCCGCAAGAGAACCTTTGTTTAAAAAAGGAATGAGTTGGAAGAATTATCTAGATTGCCTAATAAAACTGATGATAGGTTTTTATGTAGAATAATAAAAAAAAAATCTGACTTTTTTTGTTTGAGATTAATAGTATATACTTAATTAAATTAAAAAAAAAAATCAAACCCATAGTTTTACATGCTTATTTGTAACTGAAGTAACATGAAGGATCAGTTCTTATTGCTTGCTCAATCCATATGGACATGATGAGTGAGTTCTAGTGGAAAACATTCATACATAATAAAAACTGAATATAAACCACCACCTTCTAGGTTATTACAACTTGGTTAAAATAAAAAAAAAATAATGAAAGCATAGAAAAGATCAGATGTTTACGCTGTTTTTTTTTTCTTCTCAAATGCTTAAAATCCCAATTGAAAGAGTAATTAAAATATGGTGTTGCTCCATAGTGGAAGTGTGCGTGGGAGACACATTTTTCGTAAGATGAACTTATCCAAGTAGAACTAAGGTCAATATACCAAAAATCACAACGGAAGCACCTACAGTGATCCTGAATGATTTAAGTATTTCAAACAAGTGGAACCAGGGTCATAGAATCATATCAGTAAGCTACCATGTGTGTGAGATTATGCAAGTGCTTGTCACATCTCTTGATGAAAACAATAGAAAGCAATTCAGCTAAATCAGATTTTCATTTCTACGTTCTGTACAGGTCTCCAAAGAACAACTTAAAATGTCTAGACGAAGGTAAATAGACCAGAAAAAGCAGTCTTTGACAGCTGAATATGAAACTACTTAGTTATCACCAGTTCAAGGTCAGCACCCCAAATTACTGAAAGCTTATACTATGCAATGGTTTGAGAGGGGGAGATGATTTCAGCACATGTCCTTACCCAGAGGCACCCACAAAAATAAAATAACCCATGCAAAGGTAGTTCTAGAAAGGATTTAATGAGTCCCTGTGTTAACACACCCCTTCCTTGAAAGCAGCATGTCCACATTACAGTTGTTATATATTGCCAGGTCACAGTAAATGAGAATCCACTTTAATTACCTCCTTAGCAGCCAAACAGGGAACTAATTTCAATTAACCTGTCTGTCATCCCAGCAACTTCACATGAACTTGACTCAGTCTAAGTGAAAACGTCACAAGCATCATATTTTCTTTAAAAATAACACTATAAACTCTTATCTGAACTTCCAAATGTGTCTGTCTAATGCCTTCTGCATATTACCTCAGTTTTCAGCTGGACCAGTTTCCTGTTCCAGCCCACTGTGTGTATGTTCTAGCACAGGCATTCATGCTAAGAAGGGAAGAAAGGAGCAATTGCCATGGAAGGAAGACCAGCACCACTCCTTTCAGCAGTAAGTGCGTATTTATGCTAGATTAAATTGGTCTCAGTCAGAGCATGCTTTGACCTCCTGTTATGACCAAGCTGAGGTAGCAGCTGCTATGAGAGGGGCAAATTCATTCTGCTTCCATAGCCTTTTCATCCCTGAGCTACTTCCTCCCCCCGTCTCCTCTACAATAGTGTTGTAGCTCACGCATTCCTGTGGAGAGCCATTTTAGAGGGTAAAAATAGCAGTGGAAGGAATTAACTCTGCCTGCCTGCCCCCTTCCCCCCCAAAGCCCCAACTTCAAACACCCAGAAGCTCTGGGTTGTGAAATCCTAAAATGCTTTCAAATTCGCTTTCAGTTCTACTAGGTTGAGATTTATAGGGAAAAAAAGCAGCTTTATTTTGTACTTTGTTATGAGAATTCTGATAGATTCAGCATTTTAAGGAAACTTCAGAAGCAATACTACACTGTTCTAACTTTACCCATTACTTCCATTCTTGAGCTATACCTGAAACCACGATAAATGAGCTGTGTTTAAGTTTATAGTTGATTAACTCAGAGTTCTGGTAACAACAAAACAATTTATCTAGTTTGACCTATATATTATTCTAGAAAGTTAAGTATTTGCCAACAATATTTCCTTTCTAATTGTAGGGATTTAGAACTTTCAAGTATTATAACACCTTCCTGTGTTTAATATAGATGCAACAGAAGGTCTCCATTTAATTTCTTAATAGAGCAAAAAAAGTTTAAAATACACTTCACCTACAAGATGAAAAGTATGCCCTCTTGAAAGCCATGCCTTGTTAGAGACACTCCTGAACTACCTGTTTGTTGGGGGTTATTATATTTCTCTCCATTACTAACCGTTAGGAAAATGAGACATGAACTAATAGATAGCATGTATGGGATCTATAAATAAAATGGTAATGGACGGTCTTAAGTTACAGGCTGAAAAAAGCTATATGCGAGAATAACTAAGTCTACTTTTCAGAAAGATGCAAACTGTGCAAAAAACAAAACAACATGACCCACCACTTGACTCCTGATAATGTGGGCCAAATCTTTCTTACAAAAAAAAAAAAAAAGATACCCATTTTTCAAATGCCTTTCCCTTTTCTCTTAATGCATTAGATATACCTACCCTGAGCGGGAATTTTAAAGGCCTACGATAAGGCTGGAAACCCACAGGTCCTCCTTGTTGAAGTATGGCTTGATGAGCTGCATGAAGACCTTCTCCCACAACTGGAATGGCATTATTATTGCGAGCATGCTGGTTGTTAGGCTGCTGGTTTGCATTGTTTTCATTCTCTTCCTGGTCACCAAGTAAGTAAGAATGAAGATCCCTGTAACAATCAAAATTTCAGTTTTGTTCTGTTCGATATGAACGAGACTCTTACAGAAAGATAGGCCTACTCGGAATGAGTACAAGTTGTACAAAATTTATACAGGAGTACTGGCAGAATCTTGATAAAGTAAAATAAACCATTTTCTGATAATGTACTCAATGTCATCCTAAACACAGAATTTAGAAGAAAAAGAAGCTAGTGTGAATGCAGATTAGAACAGTGGGAATACAGTCACAAATAAAGATCACTTATGTGTTGGCTTTAAAAACAACATGTAGTATAAAAGTTGTGCATATAAAAGGAAAATTGCATCGATATTTCAGTTCGTATAAGCAGGCAGCTCAACTGACAGCTTTTATTTTACTGCTACTAAGCTCTATTGGAAGCAATTGCCTTCAAACCTAAACTGCACAAGGACAGTACTGTATTGCTATAGACATGTTTTCAAAAGTACAGCGTCAGGTAGAGTCTTTCAAGAAGATTCTAAATCGCTCAAAACCTGTTCACAACTAAGAAAATCAATCCTAGAAAGAGTCAATCTACTTTAAAAAGTATTCCGTTGATATTTCCTGCATACATCATTAGTAAATAGATATTAGAGTCTGATTAAAAAACCCCAAAACCCAATAGGAACATTTAGAAGTTAATTTTCCTCAGCTTTAGCAGAATTTTTATTAGCAGTAAGATGCACGCAGATTTTCTATTGGGAGGCAACGAAAACATTTTCACAGCAGTTCGCTTTTTAAGAAAAGCGGAGGAAAAGATTTTCATCTTTGCTCAACTAAAATTGCTGAAGAGATTTCACAATTGTTCTTAACAGCTGCAATAGTGGAGAAAGGAAAGCCATTTCTGTCACCATCTCCAAAATTCTCTTCTTGCGTCATACTTAAACACTATCAAAACACGGACAAATTAATTCAAAAGTAACTTTCCAAAATGCAAACTAAGAGAACAAGGGTGGGGAGAGTTTCCTTATGAGAAGCTAAAATAAATATTTTGGATTGCAGTGGAAGAAGAAAGTCTTTCATTCATTTTCTCAAGAGTCTCAGGCATAACTTAGCAAAGAATAAATCTTCATCCTAATAGTGCTGTATTGGCACGACCCACAATGAGTAAGACATGGTGGGAGAATGCCAATATACTTCGTAGTTAAATTTAAAACTTTATAGAAACAAAATAAACCTTAATTTTTTCTTGACTAATTTGGCAAACAACATACAAACTAAAAAATAACTTCAAGTGCTAGAACTCTGCCTGGAAGTCTAAATTGAAGAACCTCATTTTGTATAATCATTTACTTTAGCTGACAAAGATACAGTTTTATCCTTCTTTAGAGACTGAACTTTAAACTTTAAAATCCCTGATTTAAAGCTATTCACTTCTTCAGCTTAATGTTCTAAATAATTTTTCCCTTTTATTTTCTCCTTATAGTAAGAAATGCAAGATGTGCACATGAATTTTACTTAGATGACTCATGGAAATGCTCTGCTGACACTTACCTCTTTAATTTTTCCATAAAATAAGAAGTTAACAAGCCTTTAGCCATGCTTTTATAGATTTTTTTACTAAGCAAATGCTGTAATAGTGTACCAAAAGAATTACTTGTCAAAGACTACTCTAGAAGTAGGTACAACTGCTGCTTAGAAGAAGGTACTTCCATGGGAAATCACTATAGAAGTTTTTCCATCACGTATTTATCTGTAAAATAGCTATTAAAGCTACTTGTTGGGATAACTCTCTTGAAAGCATGCTGCTTTCACGTTAAAAGGCTAAGCTGCACACAATGCTTGTAGTTGATTTTGGCTTTCTGTACTTACAGCAAGTATCCAGCAGTAACAGTCCATGCTCGTACAAGACCTTTCAACCACTGTCTTGTATGTCCTTGTTCTAGCAAAGCTGGAAGCACCACCTGAAGCAAAAGGAGCTCTAGGGAAAGTTCACTTACTGGAGCATCACTAGAGACAATGGGAAGAGCAGGAAGTCAAACATAAGGAACATTCTGATAGTAATCTTTTACACTGAATCATATTAACACCACCACAATAAAAAAAATATATTGGATGCCAACAGGAACAATTCTTAGGTTTTTGCAGACATTTTTCCTTATATACTACTCTGAGCACAGGTTAAGCGTTCATGACTGTTTAGGCACTTAGGCGCACAAGAAATTTAAGAAAAAATGTTGAGAAAGATTATATCAGAGAATATGATTTGCTCTTCTATTTGCTTCTATCATTGCTGTTTCAATTATTATTTAGAAACAGAAAGATACTGCTATTATTACAAACAAACACAGTTACAGATATTCTTTTATTCTTGAAGCAATGATAATCAGGAATGAATGTGAAAAAAAACATGGCAGCAACTTTACTATCAAGAAGTTGAAGGGGAAAGTGTTTTGAGGGCATATAAAAAACCAAATAGTTATCATTACGGAAGTAATACAAAATGCCTTTTGTTTTTCTTAGTAGCTTTTTATTGCACAAATTGTATGATGTATCCACGTCCTTTATCTTTTTACTTTTCTAGAAAAATGAAATTTAGATTAATTGAAAACGAACAAAACATACCAAACAATGTCACATTAATGCTCAAAGAACACAAATACACATTTTTCTAGTTATAGGGAGACTGAAAAAACATCTTTTTTAAATTAAATGCTTACCTGTAGAGCATAACATTATATGGAAGAAAGTTAGGCAGGAGATACTTAATAATACGTATAGGAAGCCAGAGCATGAGCAGTACAATTGATCCAAAGACAATCTGCAACAAGGAAGTTAAACAAGTTAGTCCGAATAGCAGAAACAACCAAACCTAGTTTCCCACCCATCTCTCTGACATGTTTCCTGTGTGTGGTGGGTTAGCCCTGGCTAACAGCCAAACATCTACCCAGCTGCTCACTCATTCCGCTCTCCAGCTGAATGGGGAGAAAAGAGAAGGAAGGCAAGAAGACTCGTGGATTGAGATAATGACAGTTTACTAGAGAAAGCAAAAGCTGTGCGTGCAAGCAAAACAGAAAGAGGAATTCAGCCACTACTTCCCACCAGCAGACAGACGATTAGCGACTTCCTGGAAGGCAGGGCCTCAGCACATGTTAACAGTTGCTCAGGAAGACAAATGCTGTAACCATGAACGTCCCCTCCTTCCTCCTTCTTTCCCCCAGCTTTATATGCTGAGCATGATGTCATATGGTATGGAATACCCCTTTGGTCAGTTTGGGTCAGGTATACCCCTCTCCCAGCCCCCAGCTTATTTGCTGGCGCGGTGAGGGAGCAGAACAGGAACGAGGAAAAACCTTGATGCTGTGCAAGCACTGTTCAGCGGTAGCCAAAGCACCTGTGTGTTAGCAACACTGTTTCAGCCACTAATCCAAAGCGCAGGACATGGGCGGCTAGGAAGAAAACCAACTCCATCCCAGGCAGACCAGTAGGTTATGATGCCCTCGCCAAATAGGACTGAATAAGCTGCTGAATAAGCACTTACTGGCCAGCTGACAGTTAGGATAATGTCAGAGTTCTACTTTCTTCCCCCTCCCCCAGCACTGTGATTACTAATTTTGGATTCTTCTCTTTTCTTAGTGGCTGAGTTTTCAAGAAACTTGAAGAAGCCTCAAAAGATCTTTCCGTTTCTATTTCCTCACGTTGTAAATTGGCTGAAAGATCAAAATTTAGTAGGGGAGATCAGGTGCATGAAGACCATGCACTTTTGTAAATCCTGTTTCCTTAAGGAACCAGATTAAAAATCAAGTACATGTTAAACACGTTCTTAAACTTCATGTAAATGCACCACTGGAGACTAAAAATGCAAAAAAATTATGTGTTTAATGATGTAAAAAAGAAAAATCAAATCCCATTCTTCTTGAAACTTGATAGTTTATGTTCTACACAAGAAATCTCTTAAAAATATTGTTTTTTGAAATGGCAAGCTGTAAATGAACGCCACTCTGGGTCCCATATTCTAGCATGAGGCTGGTAAAAATTCTGAATTAATTAGCTAGCAAATCAAAAGGTGAAGTTCAAGTAACCGCCAGTTCCAACACAGTCTGAGAACGTATCTTTAAGACCTTTAGTAACAAGCAGATCTCTGCTTATATTTGGGCCACTTGCTGTGACACAAAGTTTCAGGCAGTTAAGGCATTATGATTATCTTAAGGAGAAAATACTCTGGAAGGTGGACAGGTCAGCTCCTCTCCTGTACTGAGGGTCTCTCTAATAGAACTAAGATCTCTCTATGAGCTTTCACTGCTCAAAGCACTTCAGGTATATTAATACAGTACGTCAAATAATGTTTCTGGTATACCAGTTTTCACAGTTTACGTGACATTTATGTCAAAGACAGCCTGAGATCCTTCCCTTACTGCATGCTAGGCAAACTTCAGACAAACAAGCAAAAGGAAAAAAACTTTCATTGTTCTCAATATCTTACAATGATAATCTGGAAACAGACACCACTGGCTAGATCAGCATCATCCAATCCAAAAATTTAACTAGACAGTTACTCTACCCCTGCTGCAACACTTTAGCTGAACTGGATGCACAACGTTTACTGCAGTAACAAAGAACATCATGAGAGAGTTACGTGATTTACAATATCATAGAATCATTGATTGAATAGTTTGGATTGGAAGGGACCTTTAAAGGTCATCTAGTCCACCCTGCCACGGGCAGGGACATCTTCAACTAGATCAGGTTGCTCAGAGCCCCATCCAACCTGACCTTGAAGGTTTCCAGGGACGGAGCATCCTCTCCAGGCAACCTGGTCCAGTGCTTCACCACCCTCAGCGTAAAAAATTTCTTCCTTCTATCTAGTCTGAATCTACCCCCCTTTAGTTTAAAGCCATTCCCCCTTGTCCTGTCGCAACAGGCCCTGCGAAAAAGTTTGCCGCCATCTTTCTTATAAGCCCCCTTTAAGTACTGATAGGCTGCAATAAGGTCTCCCCGAAGCCTTCTCTTCTCTAGGCTGAACAACCCCAACTCTCTCAGCCTTTCTTCATAGGAGAAGTGTTCCATCCCCCTGATCAATTTCATGGCCTCTTCTGGACCCGCTCCAACAGGTCCGTGTCTTTCCTGTGCTGAGGGCTCCAGAGCTGGATGCAGTACCCCAGGTGGGGTCTCACCAAAGCAGAGTGTATCCATAATAATAAACACTTGTTGTCTGAATACACAAACATTTCCTGTGATTTTGCATAAGGAGAAGATATCACAGAAAAATTTGTTTTGGAAGGGACCTCTAGAAGTAAACTACCCCAACCCCCTGCTCTAAGCAGACCCAGTTACATCAGGTTGCTCAGAACCTTATCCAGCTGAGTTCTGAGTATCTCAAAAGATGTAGATTCTGTTGGCAACCTGTTCCAGTGTCTAATCACGTTCATGGTGAAAATGTTTTTCCTTAAATATGCAGTAGTGTATATGGGAGCTAACGTATGAAATTTTCTTTCCAAATAAAGAAATTTTTGAGAAAAGTCCTTACCACTGACAAGATAAACCTCCTGAGATGTCTATAAATGGGCAAGTGAATCATTTCCTGCACAGGATTAAAGTCTGGATCATTCAAATTCCTGAGAAACCACAAGACACCAGGTCTCAATACCTGAAGTAGGAAATAGAAAACAGTACATGAAGAGAAAATTATCTTTGTAGTCTGTTTTTCATTTTGGATAACACCGCTGCAGCAAATTTAGTTTTAAACATAATAGGGGTATATGCTGAACAAGGTTCAAGAAAATGGTACAGAAATAGAACAAAGGAAGCATTATCATAGAGAAACAGAGAAGCAATAACCAATTACAAGCTTAATTTTCAAGTATTAATCAATCTTAAACAACTGAAATGTATTTAGATTCATTTGAAGGCAACACCCATGTTTAAGGACTCTTTGTAAACTAAAAATCTGTAAGTAAAATATACTCTAAATCATCATTTTCCACTGCAGTAAGTACCAGTGTGGCCCTTTTCACATAAGGCTGAAATCCAATACACACACACAAAACACAGTAGCAGCAGTACCTACACCTGAAAGATTTGACTAACAGTTCAACATGTAAGCTCCTCTAGGTTACATACCAATCTTGTTCTTATAGACTTACCTCTCTCAGTAAAAGAATGAAGGATGCAAAATAAAAGACGTAAACCATTCCAACTAACCAGTGCAGAAACATTGTGGTACCTGGGGCAGACTGAAAGCTCAATTCTCTATCTTTCAAAGTGGCATCAAACATCTCCTAGAAGGTAAGTAGTAAACAAATATGAATAAAGTTTGGCAAACCTCCACAGTTACTAGTTTTGTTTATCCTAGTTCATATATACTACTAGGCATTTAATTTAAACTTTTGCCTCCTGCTAACACATAAATAATTACAGCATTTAGTTAGGAAAAAAGGGAATGATTTACAGTAAGAACAGCAAATAAAGATCAATTTCTGATCAATTTCTTTCTTCTGACAGAAAGAAGAAAGATGACAACTCAAACACTAACATATACTACATAAGCTATAAATCAGTTCAAACAAAGCAGCACTGTGATGGAAGCAAATACTTATTTCCTTTAAGTAAAATGCTATTTCTACTAAGGCTGGAAGAAATTAATTTTCTCCATTTGAGATTAATCACTTGATTTTTTTTTTTTTCCCCAGGACAGAAAAGCCATCCTTCTCACAATTCAAGCAAACACAGCTTGAATTTCTGTTTAAAACAGAAAGTGATTGGACAACTATTAAAATATGAAGTCATTACCATTTCACATAACATGGCTACATAAAGAAGTTTATTCAGTACACAAGTTTGCCATAATTAAGTTCATTATCACACTGGTCATGTAAATGCAGTAAAAAGGATTAAGATCTTATTATTTTAATAATAGCATGTTAATTTCTGTTTAGTAACCTGAAGGAAAAAAATTAGCATTAAACAGTACTTAAAAAACCCTTTCCCTCTGGAAACACTACGTTTCTAAAAACAGAAGAGTGCTGTCAAACTCATATCAACAACTCTCTTCTCATCAGAACTTTTCTTCCTTTTAATATGAACACCGTTAAAAAAGATTTTATTCCATTTGTTTCCATTCTTACCAAAGAGCATATATCTAGCCACCAGCCACAGATGAGAGGAAACACACCAATTTCAACCACCACTAACAAGGAAACCTTTAGGAAAAAAAGAGGAAAAGAACATCTCACTAGTTTAACAGAAATTGCTAAGAAAATTACAATATAAGCGTAAATCGAAAGGTTTTTTTGCTACATACAAAAAAATAGGATTACCTTGACGACAATATAGCAAACTCCTAATAAACGACGTGATCGCTGGAACTTAACAAGTGCTGCCAAACCCTGAATAGTTTTGTCAAGAAAATACTGAAAAATACTTTATGACATAATTTAATTAATATGAAACACTGTATTATGTGGCTTTTAGCAACAGGGAATTTTATAAAAGACAAAAGTGAAATAGGAAGTATGTATTTTATCAGGGCTCTATTTTCAAAATTGGCTGTAACTCTGGAACTCAATCTGATGTGCTGGATAACCCCCCAAACATGCATCTAAAATAAATGAATAAATAAATAATAATACTTTCTCAAATTAAGCATCCAAAAGTTTTCTCAAGAAATAAACAGTTGCCTTTGAAAACATCTGCCATGAGTAAGCAAGTTTCAAAACTGAAGGCCTACCGTATATGGTAGCTTTCCTTTTCATGCAGTCTGAAACAAATCCTCACCTTTTCCAAGAAAAGCTGGATGCATATTACAGTTTGGGGGTTTGTTTTGTTTTCTTTTAGGAGGCAAAACAGAGACATGCCAATCAACTCTTTCACCACATTTGCACTGCACATTGGCATAGTGCGGTCTAAAGTTGATGTTAGCTTTGTGTAGTCTTGAACAGAAAACTGGTGACAAACGTTTATTCTTTCAAATTGAAGTTGGTGCAGTCCCTTTAACAAGATGCAGCTAGAATGCAGACTTTTTACTTATGACCAAATCCTCCCAGCTTTCAGGACTCTGCCGTTACTTAATTTTCTCTGTAATAATGAGGGTTATCACCTGAAAGAAATCCTTGCTGCAAACTCTCCATGGTTCAGAGACATAAAAGAGAAACTACAACAATCCACATTCTAAAGATCTAGCAGGATCAAAAAGATGTGAATAAATTTCCCATCGTACCCTATGTATTTTCACAATCCCATTTCTCTTTCTGCTGCAACTAACAAGCGTGAGGAAAAAAAAACAACGGTTCTACACATATCTTCTCAGACCTTCAAAATTTAGTTGGAGGCCTTCGAGCAAGCGTAAAAGCCTGATTTTGTGGTGTTAAACAGCTGCAAGTGTTCTGAAGAATGCAGTCACACTGAAAACCTTTAAATGTCCAAGAGAACAGAAGAGACCTTTTCTTCTAACTTCACCAAAAGAGCAGAGCAAAATGGTAAATTAATTGCATCTCCATCATGTCTGTGCCTCCTCAAGATATAGCCAGAAAAATGATTTATATGTAAAATCTGAACAAGGTAACTACTGACAAAAGGATACATGACAAACAATTAGAGTCACTGCTAGCAGAACATATCCAACTATAGTTGTAATCAGGCCTTCAAAGTGAGATGCTTGAACCTGGAGGGGAGGGAAAAAAAAGGGAAAGTTTATCAGTTTCTTAAAAAATTACATCTCCTTTTTATGTAATTAAGATAAATTCCAAATCTCAACTCTTCAAGGAGATTGACAAGTTTCTTTAGTTTTTATGTATTTTAATAATCTACTACTTTAGTATTCCATCATGAGTAGAAAGTGTTTACATTTACTGGAAAAGTCTAACAACTACTTTCTTCAAACATGAAACAACCTCTATATACGAAACAAGTGCCACCTCACACTACCTCACTACCTCCGAGCTTTTGCTACCTATTGTCATCAACTATGAAAATTACTCAGTACATAAATTAACAACCTGTTGTTCCTCATGTACCTTTTTAAGAAAAAAACAAAAACGTATGCATTTTTTTGTAAAAGGAGGAAACCTCACTTGAAATGTAAATAGTGTAGGAAGTGGGAAAGGGTGAGAGAATATTTTTAATCATAGTTTTAAAAAGGTTTGAGGAGAAAAAAGGAGACACACTCCCGGTTACTTCTGCAATCACAAATAAAAGTGGAAGGATGCTACAAAAAATTGTGATTAAATAAATAGTGGCATTTTTTTCATTTTGAAATTATAAAAGAGTACTTACATATTCCTCAAAGCCCAGGCCAACAATGGAGAAGTGACCAATGTGGTACGGACAAAATGCTGCATAATGTAAGCAGAAAGGGGGGAAAAAAAGGCCATGAAAACTGCTAAATGGAGCCTTATTTGCAGGATGTGTATTGTAACATGGTAATTATTCTACTTCTCATCAATTTTGTGAAAACAACTAAAAAAATTACTTTCTGTGCAACTATTTGCAAGTGTTATATTTCTATAATTTTACAAACACTGACAATCAGATCAGAATTCACACTGAAAGATTACAAACAATATAAAACTACACAGAATAAGAGGATAGTCTTTTCCTTCTTAGTTTGTCTTGCCGTGTGTAAATTAATTCAATTTCTCAGTCTTACATACTAGGGTGTTATTGGTCTCATAGACTGCTGTAGGAACCT